CTCTCTCTCTCTCTCTCTCTCTCAAAAGACTAAATGGAAGTCTACCTTAGAGTGAAAACAACTAAACTTGAAAACAATTAGACAATTTAAAGAAAAAAAATCACATGAACTAAGACTAAAAGACAATGTTTTACGCAAACGTACACCATTTAACAATTGGACAATAAAGATACTGTCACCAGGATCTTATAAACGTATAAAAGAATGGATGACAATTGTCTTAAGCAGTCTTAGTTCTATGAGCCATGCTATGGAAGTGGAATAGTCTGCCAACCCAGAGACTTGAGACCACCAGATAGACTGGAAGAAGCTCCCCTCTGTTCTGAACCTCTTTGTCTTGTGTGTGGGAATTAGCTGTGATAGGAGATAGGTAGCTAGCTACATCGAACTATCTGGTCTGATGCCACAGTACATGTTAAATAGCAGACAGTTCTTTATTGGTAAATTATACATTAGCCTGGTCTTCATTAAAAGTGACCTAAATAACAAAACATTTCAATTTTCTTTCTTATTTAAGAGCTTTCAGTTAGGTTCAGACACATTGTAATAAATAAGCAAACAGTATTGTGTGCTCACTCAAATGTAATTAGCAATCATTCTATGAAACATGCTATACAAAGTGCTGTGGTACATATAAAAATTCATTAAGAAGCAATGCTTAATATACGAGATATATACATAAATAACTACAAAGTAAGATGAAAACCTAGAGATATAAATGAACAATCATAAATACCCTAAGAGCAATGAAAAGATTAGTAAGAATATGCAAGTTTCCAAGGATTCCTATTTGACATAAACAACAGATGTCAGCTTGGACTCCCAGTTTTCAATCTTTTTCTCGTGTGTGTGTGTGTGTGTGTGTGCGCGCGCGCACCCGCACACATGCTACTCCTTGTGCTTGAACTTGAGACCTAGCTGCTGTCCCTGTATTTTTGTGCTCAAAGCTAGTTCTCTACCACTTTGAGCCACAGCTCCACTTTCGGCTTTTTGATAGTTAATTGGAGATAAGGAGTCTTGAGTCTCATGGACTTTCTTGCCTGTGTGCTGGCTTTGAGCCAGGATCCTTGGATCTCAGCTTCCTTACTAGCTACAATTACAAGCTGGAGCCACCAGTACCCAGCTCAATCTTTTTAAAAGCAGTCACCTTACTTTTTAAACCCGTTAACACAATGTTTCTGTTGCACTTTTAAAGCCTAGAATTCATTCTTTAACTTTTCATCATAATTTTATTCCACTTACATTTAATGTATAGTACTCATAAAAGCATTTTATTTTTAGTATTGACATTACACAGAAAAAACTGTTTGTTATTCTACATGGAAAATGTGCTATCACAGAGAAAACTCATACCTGGTCCTGGCACATTGTTTGCGAGAACTAAAAGCAGGGAAGGACATAACCAGGAACAAACATTTGTATTTCCCAGCACCAAATCCAGTGTATTTCCAGAAGGACCACTGGCTTGAAGGTCTGTGAGAGAGAGTGACAGTCGCACAGGAGTGCCTATTTGAAGGAAGCGGCCATCTTCAGTTCTGCCTTGCCCACTTCTCCATACTCATTTGGTTATCTAAAATACCTAGAATTCATTTTACATTTATCGGGCTACCAAGAAATTCTTCTTCTAACACTAAGACTGGAAAAAGATACATTTAAAATACAATGTACAATTTTGTAATAAAGCCTGGGGGGGAGGGCAGGATGAAAGAAATTAACCTTTAATTCTCAAAAATCAAATGAAATATAATCATTTACTTAGTTCCTTTCACTACAGGGTAAATAAAAAGAATGGTTAGATGGGCCCTAGTGGCTCAGGTCTGTAATCCTATCTACCCTGGAGACTGAGACTAGGAGGACTGCAGTTCTAAGCTAGCATAGAGGCTGTAAGACTCTTATCTCCAAATACCCAGCAAAATGCAGGACTGGAGACATGATACTGGCCATGAGGAAGAAAACTAAGTGAGATTAAGAAACCTTGAATGCAAGCCCTGCTAAATGGCATACAAAAAGAAAGAAATGAACTGTAAACGTACAGAACTATTTAAAAATCAAATGGTAATTTAAAAATACATGAAATCAATCTGCCATTACTCATTCCCTTTAGCAGAATAATTTTTATTAATGCTAAAATGTTCATGTGTTACATAAGCATAATAAATATATGTTTACTTTATCTGTTACTTCTCTTCATAGAAATAAGATGATGTGGGCTGGGAAGTTGGCTCAGTGGTAGAGCGCTTACCTTGCATGCCTGAGGCCCTGGGTTCGATTCCTCAGCACCTCATAAGCAAAAAGAAAAAAAGCCAGAAGTGGCGCTGTGGCTCAAGTGGTAGAGTGCTAGCCTTGAGCTGAGGAGCTGAGGGACAGCACCCAGGCCCAGAGTTCAGGCCCCCCCTCCAAAAAAAAAAAGGAATAAGATGATGTGAGGATGGGGGGGCAGGCGGGGGAGTGGGAAGGAGGGGAAGGGATGGGTAGGGGAAACAAAGGAGGAGGCTACAATGCTTGATAAGAAATGTCCTCATTATCTTGCCCATGTAATAGTAACCCCTCTGTACAGTATTTTCACAATAAAAAAAAAAAAGAAAGAAGATGATGTTAAAACTTAAGCTCCCATTAACCTACCATTAGGTAGGTAATCGTATGTCATAACTACCTCTTGCCTCCAGCTGAATGTCAGCTAACACAGAGAATGTTCTCAAAGTAAGTATCTCAGCACAACTGCTTAACCCAAAATATCTGCTCAATAGCTGTTAACTAATGAGTGAAGCTGGGTGCTGGTGGCTTACAAATGTAATCCTCACTACTCAGAAGATTGTGGTTCAAAGCCAACTCCAGCAGGAAAGTTTGTAAGACTCTTACCTCCAATTAACCACCAGAAAACTGGAAGTGGAGTTGTGGCTCAAAATGGTTGAGTGCTAGTCTTGAGCAAAAAACTCAGGGACAGTACCCAGGCCCTGAGTTCAAGTCCCATAATCGACCAAAAAAAAAAGAGAAAGAATTAATGAATGAAGGTCAGAAGAAAGTCTTATTTTTTTGCCAGTCGTGGGGCTTGAACTCAGGGCTGGGACACTCCCTGAGCTTCTTTGTGCTCAAGGCTAGCACAGCGCCACTTCTGGCCTTTTCTGTGATACTGAGGAACTGAATCTAGGGCTTCAAGCATGCTAGGCAAGTACTCTACCATCAAGCCCCATTTCCAGTGCAGAAGAAAGGTTTTTGACAACTGAAGCAAAGATACAGCACACTTTACCCTATCTGAAGGAAGACAAAGTGGTATTTAAGTTCCCTTCATTATTCTGTTAGGAAGAAAAAATAATTTCAATAAACTAGTTTAAGTGGTAGAGTGCTAGCCTTGAACAAAAAGTTTAGAGATAATACACACACATACACACATAAATACACACAGAGAATAAAATATAAGAAAAAAATAATCAAGTTCAACTCTCCCTTGATCCTTTCATCTAACATTTGTGCCACAGGCCTTCCGTAACTGATTTCTTCATTAACTACAGATGATATAACAATTAACCCTTACTCTGATGGCTAACAGGGAAATATGTAAAATTTTGCCTTTTTGGGCTGTACTTACATGTTAGAATCCTACAAGATTGTCACACTTCTCAAATCAAGTCCTTTAGCTGACTTTAACATGGTCAATCTCCATCTGAATTCTATCTACCCTGTCTTTCCTCTCACTTATAATGTTAATCTGAGACATACCCTTAAATCACATTGACACATCCCATATGAAAGTCTAAATCACTCCTCATAGAGTTCTCCAGGGAATTCCTACAATTACATATTAGACATACTTCAAATCTCAGATGTGCTACTCACTAACCTAAACTTCTTAAAACCATGGGCAGTTTTTTATGCGCCCTCCTCCCGCCCCGTTTCAAGTTATCAATAACATGGGAAGAATAAGAACACCCACCTTGCAAGAAAGTTGGGAAGATCAAAGATTTGTTAAGCACTTACAATAGTGACAGACTGCTACCATTATTAATAACCACTTTCAAATTTTACAGATTTCATACAGATTTGAGGACAAGTAGAAACCAATGTTACCCTTCTCCAAGCTATTCATATCCCTCCTGTAAACACTCACAGAGACACACAAACCTCCGGTGCAGAGTGTACTATATGCCATGGACACAAACGTTTCCCTGCTAAGACACAGCTAATGCTGAAAAGAAAAAGGCAACATACATACTCAAGCCCAAGAGAAGCCTTGAAAACACCAAGTAAGTTGGTCTGCTACTTTTTATAATGAACAGAAGAGCAGATACATTCAGATTATTTTCAAGGAATGATGTTTTCTTGAACACATTTAAGAATCTGAAACCACTTTGAAATGCCACTTTAGACCAATACACATACCATGGGAAAATGCCTACCTGAATTTAGGGGAACAAAATGTTTTTGTACCACTCAATAAAACACTCAAGTGACTCTAAACTTACAGTATTTTCTCTGTATCACCACAACATATCACTCAGCTTTCCAATTAATTCATTCCTTCCCCAAAACATTGGCAAATTCTTTGCAGATTCTCAATGCCAATGATTTGTTAGGAAAAAAGTTTTCTTATTTAAAAAGGCAACACTACTCTAAACAAAAACAACTCAATTACCAAACAGCTACTAAAAAAAATGCTACTATAAACCTCCCTGCAAACCCAGTCTCCTGTTCTTTCAGGCAACTAACTAGTTCCCTGCAACACAGGATCAAACTTCTCTTACCAAGTATGGATACTGTCTGAGAAAGTTAGCTTTCTGTTATCCAACAAGCAAATCAAGATTGACTTTTAATCCATAAACTATGCAAAAGTACAAAACCTAAGTTTTGCTTCCTTCAATATGAAAACCAAACAGGTGTATTATCAATCAGCAGCAATGCCCAATTACACACCCTGCATAAAGGTAACTCACAATGGTTATAAACGAATGAATGAATAAATAACTAAATAAACTAAAAACACCACATCTGACATCCAGGGTTACCTTTTGAAGGCCTCAGCGGGGTTCCTCTCACACTCCCCAGGCTGCAGGAGACTTTGCACAGCTGGGTCTCTTAGCTTGTCCTCATACCCTTGGAGCAGTCCACTGCGGCAGATCTGGGCCACCAGGCCTCTGATAAACCCTCCAACACACAAAGTGTCAGAGTCCTGGGCTTTGCAGAAATGAAATGCCAAGGCCTGGCGATGTAAACCTCTCTGCAGGCTTGTCGGTGAACTTGGCCACAAGAGCTCAGTGCAGAGTGCTGTCTTGCCACTGCCAGGCCCTCCTACCAGCAACACGCCCCAGGCGGCTCCTTTGCCAGAGACAGCACCAGCATTATTCCCAGAATTCATGACAAGGGATGGGGTACTGGCAGTGCTGTTACAACCGTTGGTCTTCTCCTGGAGACAGTGCTGAAGCTTGTGGAAAACCCACTCCCTACAGTAAAACTGCTTTCCTTGCAGTAAACTTGTCTGGGCCATTTTGCAGCTTTTCTCTTCCCAAGGATTAGTCATAATAGTTATTTTTTTTAATCTTCAACCTTCACTAGAATTCGGATACATCAACATTGGTCTTTACATCCATTTGCTCCGGACTTGTATAAGTTGATTTTGAATGATAGAATAAAATTCAACAGCCACAGAATCTTTTTGACAACAGAATGTGTGGAGCATTATTTGGTTCCATCTTCTGGATGATCAGAGAATACATACATTAGTTTAATTGCTGAACTGATGGGAAAATGCCTGGTGCTAAAGTTCAGCAACACTTTTCCTGTATCTCTTTGGGTCACAGAGCTCCATGGTTCTATCTAGAGGTCATGTGATTGTGGATGTTTCAAGTGTACAGAGGACACAATGCATTTGGAAGACTACTGGAAAGCCTAAGCTTTCAAATTAAACAAAATGCTGCTCCAAGCTCCAAGTGTGAAATCTGTATCTGAAAATTAGACACAGAAAAGCTGCCCATTGTCTTAAAAGTCATCAAAGAGATGACACATAATGCAGTACACAGGTAGGACTGAATCTGTTCATGAAGGATGGCTGCTCAAGGTACTTGCTTTTGCCAGTTTCAGGATTCTGGGCAACCATCTCGCATGGTCTCAGATTAGTCTGTCACAGGGCAGAAAAGGCAAAGCACTTTGAAAACCTTCTCAGTTGAAAGCATTCTTCGAATGCATCTTTCCAGACAGCAAACAGATGGCTAATAAACCCGACTCAGAGGTTACTCAATGTTAAGATGCCCAGGTAACCAACCATTTCCATAAGTAACTAAAATAAAACAAAAATACCTCAGTCAGTACATTATGATGTTAAAAGCTAATGTATCAAAGGATACAATTTACAAATTACCTCACTGGGCCAAATACTTCATCTATAGCACTTTCAAAAAGCTGGACAATTTATCCCTAAATAAATTCATTTTCCTTGTAATTTTCCTTCCTCTAGGGAAGACAACTTGCCCTTTTATAACCCCCTTTTAATCCAATTCACCTAAAATTTCAAAACCTCACTATAAAAAAACATGAGAGGGGAAAAAGGACTCTTTATGCACTTCCATTAACATCCTTAATTATAGCCAAATAGCTCTTTCTGACTAGTTTGGTAGAACAGCGCAACTAAGAAGCTCCATCAACTTGCACTGTAGTCAAGTCAGGCTGGGACTAGCTGATTGGCCACACTTCTTTGTGGATAGTTTGCAAAATCTACGGGAAAGAATCCCAGGGTTTTAGCTAGATGGGAAGTGGGTGGAAAATTAAGAAGAAAAAGAAAAAACAAAACAAAAAAAAACAAAGAAGGAGGGAGAGGGTGATTGTCCTTATATGAACAACAAATGACACCCAAGCCCATCCTGAATTCTGCAGTCCTCTGCACCAAGAACGGGGGTTCAGGATAGGGGTCAGCAGCACAATCTCCCCCTCCCCCAAAGACCGGAGATCAGGATGGGTCAGGGGAACAATCTCTTCCCAAAAACTGGAGATCAGGATGGGGTCAGGGGTACAATCTCCCACCGAAGGTCCGAGGCTCAGGATGGGTCAGGGGTACAATATTCCACCAAGGACAGGGTCTCAGGATGGAGATCAGGGTTACAAATCTCGTACCCAAGAAGGGGGACTGAGGACGGAGGTCAGGGGCTCAATCTCCTAACCAAGGAAGTTCAGGGACTCAATCTCCCACCAAGAGCCAGAGCTAGGAATGAGGCCAGGGGCTCAGTCTCCCACGGACGACGGGTCTCGGGATGGAACCCTGACCTCATCTCCCACCGAGAGCCGGGGCTAAGCTGGGGTCCGGGCTCCTTCTCCCACGCCGGGGGAAGACACAGATGGCCGGGAGGGGGATTCCTCGCGGCAGGAAAGGGTTGGGAGCCACGCTGCACGCCGGCGGGGTTCGCCCACAGTTCCGGCCTGCAGTTCCAGCTGACAGACAAAAGGAACCCCGGGGTCCCCGGCGGCCGAGCCCCGCGGAGCCGCGGGGGGCTGCTGAGGGGAGGCCGGTGAAGGCAGAAGCCGGCAGCCGCCCTCCGCCGACCGGGCCGGGCGTGTCTTTTGTCGGGGGAGGGGAGCCTGGCCCCGGGCAGGGGTCAGCGGGGCGCCCCCACCCCGGCCCCGCACCCGTCCCGCTGGGCCCCCCGCGAGCGCAGGGAGGGCGCGGACCAGGGGCCCCGAGGGTGGGTGGGGTTCGAGCCCCGCTGCAGCCCTCGAGCTTCGGTCCGGACCGAGCAGCAAGAGGCCCGGCTCCCACCGCCGCCGGCCCCCGGGTACCTCGGCCCCGCGGCCGTCGCCCGAGCCGCCGACTCCGCCACAGGCACTTGCTTCTCTGCTGAGCCGCCGCTTGACGAACTCGGGTCTCAGGCTCCCACCGCAGCCGCCACCACAGCCGCCGCCTCC